CCTGGTGTTTGGCGTGAGTCTGACTGCCATTCTCTAGCCCTGTGCAGTCGGACTCTACAGGACCCCAAATAAATCTGACACGGTATTTGGGGAAATGTAGGGCTGGAAGGGACCTCATGAGGTCACCTAGTCCATCCCCCCAGGCTGAGGCTGGACTAAGTATGCTTAGACCATGCCTGATAGATGTTTGTCTCATCTGTCCTTAAAAACCTCCAGTGACTGGAATTTCATAGCAGTTGTACAGTCGTGTTTGTTTTTTCAAGCCCCTCCTTTTCCCCCCCCTGCATCCGGGAATAATTTGTGGAGACAACATAAAGCAAACCCAAGTCATCTTATGTTAGTCTCACCACCCAGTGACTTGAAATACCCTCCAAATGTCTGGACTTGCATAACTTAAGCACCATAAATGGTTCCCTGAAGCACTAAAAGAGTCAGAGGAAAAACAAGCAGAAACACCGAGCTATTGGGGGGTTATTCGGGTTTACCCAAATATTGGGATATTCAGTATGAAAAACATGAGTGTGAGTATAAAGAAGCATAAAGATCGTGACTGAGCCCTGCACATATTATTATTAATTATTTCTATTGTGGTAGCACGCAGGAGCCCTGGGTAGGACTCCATTGCGCTAGGTGCTGTATGAACACAGAACAAAGCGGCGGCCCACATATCCCTGCTATTCGTATTTTCTGAGCCCAGAAGGGCTGAGTTTGCTATGTAGGCAAATACTCAGCACCTAAGAGTTTGAAAGGGTTGCTCTTTGTTGTTCAAGAGTGAGCCCTCGGGTGTGATTAAGGAGCATAATTTAGGAGTTCCAGAAAGAAGGCCCAGTCAATGAGGAGTTAAAAATTAAAAGGCTCTACAACAGGCAGTATTGTTTAATGGTTAAATGAGGGGCCGCAGAGTCAGGAATTTTGGATTTTAGTCCCAGCTCCGCCGCTGACTCATTGCACGGTATCTCCTTGAACAAATCAGATAATTTCTTTATGCCTCAACTTCCCAAGATGTAAAATGGGACGACAATCAAGAACCTTAAATAGAGTGACCAGATGTCCCGATTTTATAGGGACAGTCCCCATATTTGGAGCTTTTTCTTATATAGGCTCCTATTCCTCCCCTCCCCACCCACACCCCCGTCCGGATTTTTCACCCTTGCTATCTGGTCACCCTAACCTTAAATCACCAGGGCCTTTTGAGGCATAACTCATTAATGTATGCAAAGCAGTTTGAGATCCGAGGCTGTATATGTGCAAATTATTTATAATAGACGGGCTATACAAGGATCCTATCCTGTGAGATGCTGAGCTGGATTCACATTGAGGAGTCTCCATGCCTAGCAGAACGAATTCAGCACCTCGTAGAGTTTTCCACAACACACAGTTCCTCACAGCTTATATCCAGCAATCACTAAGTACATGGCATGAAAAAGACCATTGTGTAATGTCTGTAGTTGCTTCTTGGCTGGAATGAACAAATGCCCCTAGAAATTCCCAATGCAATGCAAAGATTGTAGCTGCCCATCCAGAACAATAACACCTAATGACTGATGTTGTCTTACCTGAGATGGAACTCAGGTGGCTAAATCGATAATGCATCTGACTTTTAATATGAGAGTCCAGGATACAAGTCTTGTTCAAGTGGTAGGTTCTTAATCTACATGATAAATTTATGAATGGGATTGTATGATGGGGTTACCTGTGATAGCAGGGCCTGGTCTCAAAGACCCAGGAACTTCCTTCCAGTCCTATGTTTCTAAATCCTGGCAGTGTAGCTCCAACTTTTTAGATTTTGCCCACTGGCACCTGCGGCTCACGACAGATTTAAACCATGAAAGAGACTTCTAGCCTGGAATACGATCAGCCCTAGTTTTCCACTGGGAAACTGTTATAAATGTGTCTCCAGCTAAATGCAAAGTGAGCTGTAGCCTAACTACTTGCAAACAACACCAGTTTACCGGTATCAGCTTTAAAAAAAATCAATGGGCTTTATACAAGTATTCTTTCCAGGAAAATAGAGGGATAGTGAATAAATTGACAACAAGGTAGTGGTATGAGAATGGCAGGGAGCATTTGGAAGCTCAGTAGACAGAGGTTGGTCCTGTGCAGGAAAATTTGCAAGAAATTACCCGCATATTCTTTTAACTCTTTGTATACTTTCACCAATACCTCATCTGTGGCTGAGAGGGATTTAGGCTGAATTCAGTCCATGTCAAGAAGCGTTCGTCGTTCAACCTACATTCTGGGCTGCATGGACGCTCGGCTTTTTGGCTGTGCGCTCCTACATTTCCATCCCATCTCTGTTTGGGGGTGAGATCATGCAGAATAGCCCCAGTAGTTACTTTAGAACATATCAGACCTATGGTGGTAGGCTGAAGATGTGCTGCAATGCCTGGAAGCAAAGAACCATATCTGAAGTGAGAGATTTTACTCTGGGAAGTCATGACTGGCTAAAGAATGGTATTGTTATTGGTGGGGGTCAGGGGCACACACTAGGATGGTGGTATTTTTTTATTGTCTAAGGCTTTGTCTTCATTGATACAATGAGGGGTTTTGTTGTTTGCTTGTTTGTTTTGACAGCAAGCTAAGAAACACCAATAGTTATGTCCCCGTAAAATCTTAACTTGGGACAAAGCACTTGTAGTGTTTACTGCCAGGTAGCTAGGCGAGGTCAGTGCTACATCACCCCCCCGGGGCGACTTACCCTAGTTTACCTTGTAACAGGAAAGTGCATTGCCTCCAGTGTCGTTTTACAGTGGGAGAGCTGACATGGCTTCCAGGGACCTTTTGCCTTCCTGATTCTAGGCTGTGTTGGGGACTCTGGTGTAACTTAGACAGCCCTAGAGGCCTAAGTTACCACAGCCTCGCTCGGCTGGCCGATGGGCTACAGGGTGGCCAGAATTTCCACAGAGCTGCATGATGTGTCTGTGTCCCCGTCCCTGATGCATTCCTCCCACCTTCAGCCACACCCGCAGCATGTCCCTCATGCCAGGGCTTGGGAGGGGGGCCTCAGAAGGCCATTTTACGGCTCTCTTTCACAGCGTCTCTCAGCCACATACAGGGCTTTTAGGGAAAATTTAGGGGGCTTTTTCACTGCTCTGGTGCTTTTGCCCAGTGTAAAGGGGCTGGAGTAGAGGTAACAATCTCACCCACTACTGAATAGCTAAGAAGCCGTCCAGTTGGCTAATTAGAACAGACCAAGTGGAAACTCAAAGAATAGATATCCCAGAAATCTTAGGCATGTACTTAATAACAGCTTAAAACCAAGGGCCTGATTTGAACTGCTGTAAACCAGCACAGCTTCATTGACTTCAGTGGAGCTACAGCCAACTTACACCTGAGGGATCTGGCCCCTGATTTCCAGTTTTGGCTAAAGAAACCATATTCGCTGCAGTTCAGTTCAAGCATCAAAATCCATTGACAATAGCATACGCGCCACTTTACTACTGAGACTTTCTCCTTGACTGAAGTGTCACAGGTTTAAAAACCTAAAGATCAGAGCCAGCGAACACCTTCCCAAGTTTAGTTTGCATTGTTATCCATGTTCGTCTACCCTTATGTCAGCTTATAAAGGACATGGTTCTACAAGAGCCGCTTTGCAGAACTGGTGCGAGGGTTTTAAATGACTGCTCCTGTAGCAACAGTACGTTCAGTCTCAGTCTGCATTTTCTTCTGCTGCAGCTTACTTTGACTTTCCCCTTGTCGTTCTTTAGTGCGTATATGCAAGTGTTTCAACAGCCTGGGATGGCAGCGTTACTGAAACGTGTGGGTATTATTGTAAATATGAAATCACCATATGGCTATATTTTAGACCCTAAAAATGAAGCGCGGAAGACATTTATTGGCGTGAATCCTGAGAAAGAGACAAGATTATATTTTACTAGGTGGAACCATGGAAGAGATAGATTGATACAGAAAATTGGAGGAGCAAGGAGAATGGATGAGTGGTTAAGACATCAGAGCCAGATTTTTAAAGGTATTTAGTCACAGATAGGTGCCTTTTCAAAAGGGTGTAGGCATGTAACTCCCCTTGAATTCGGTGGGTTTGAAGTCAATGGGAGTTAAGAGTCCAGGTGCTTTGGAAAATCCTATCCAAATCCTGAGGCATCTAAATACCTTTTAAAAATCTGGCCCTTAGACTTTAGTTCCAATGCGCATGTGTTCAAATCCCAGTTCTGGTGAGCTCACTAGCTTGGGCCGTGGTTATATCACTAGACTAGTGATTGGGAGATCTGGCCACAATTCCTGGCTCTGCCACAGACTCACTGCATGACCGTGGGCAGATCACTAAGGCCAGATTTTCGGAGATGCTGACCATCCAAAACTCCAGGTAAAGCCAGCGGCAGGGGTGCCGTGCCTCTAAAACTCATGCCCTTAATCGTGTTGTGTTTCAATTGTGTAGCAAGAATTCCCTACCTCACAGGGCATTGTGTGTGAGGAAAAGACATTACTGTTTGTGAGGTGCTTAGATACTATGGAGCTGGACACCAGAGAAGATGACAGATAGGTACAGGTAGATAGTTTTGCTGGGAAGATAAGTATATTTATATATAATGCCCCACCTTTTTAACCTGTCCGAGGAATGTCTGGAGACTCAGAATGAGCAGCACCAGGTCTGTTACTGCAAAACTGAACAGTCACTATTCAGGCTAATTTCTCAGCCTGACGCTGGCTAACTCTTCTCCTCATTTGCTGTTCTGCGCCATTCGCAGCACGTTTGTTTTCGGGAAAGTTCATTTTCTTAGGGGCACTGTGATAAGGACAATTGTTATTAAGCGGAATGAAACAAACAAAAGCATCCGACAGCTGTTCGCAATCTAATTGCCCTTAATTAAACTAGCTCCCTATCAACTGGAGAGAGGCAATGTCACAGCAACGCGGGCGAGTCTTAATGCCCGTGTCACTCCTCAGAGCTGCTAGGTTCTGAATGTCTCAGGTCTGCCACACACGCTGAAGCCTATTCACTCATTCGTCGCATTGCTCACCGACTTTCCGCTTTTTTACAGCTTGTGGGAAGCTGACAGGAATAAGTGACCCAGTCACAATAAAAACCTCTGGATCAAGGTTTGGATCATGGATGACAGATCCTTTAGCTCCAGAAGGTGAAAACAAGGTAAGATTACAATGTTCCCCTCCCCCCGTCCCACACACAGCATGTCCCATGTTTCTCAGGGCTCTTTGCAGCAAAGCACTGAGACTCTGAATGGAGGTCCACCATCACATCTCCAGTCCAATGCCCACTGAAGACAGTGGAAAGACTTGATGCGTCTGAGCTTTATTGACCCTGTCTGCACTGCATGCATAGCCACACCGCACTTATTAAACTCATAAGGTCCTGCTCAGCAGGTGCTGAGCTACGTGTCAAACCTGGAATGGATTCTCTAAAGGCTCTTCTTTGATTGGCCCAAAGGCAAGGGAGTTGGAGAAATTGACCACAAGTCATTACAACCCACACCCATTGTAACGCTTCTTGAAGCTTTGCCTCTTGGTTGGTTTTTTGTTTTTGTTGTTGTTGTTTTTTTGAGAGGGGGAAGTTTACTTATTTATTTTATTCCTGACATTTTTTTTATGTTAATTTTACTGGTCACAGAAAAGTTCCAGACTCACAGCCACTGGAGTTCTCTCTTTATCCATTGGTAATGATGGGTCAAGTTTCCCCCCCCCCGCCCACCACAGGCTGCCTCACCTCTGGCATGCAGGCACTGCCCCCGTGGAGGAGAGGATAGTACCATCTCCATGGGTCAGTCCATCCTCAACCTGCCAACCAAGTTTCCTGTTATGGCCGATTACAATTGAGTTCTTAATGGAGAGGACATGAGTGCATTAGGAACTGGACCGAGACCCATCAAACTCATTCTAGGCAGGCTATTCAACATCTGTAATTATTTTTATTAACTTATAAAGCACATTCCTAGGGGGCTCAGTAAAACAGTGGCCTTATTTCCGGCTGGATACCTGAATGCAAATTCCAAGTACGTTACACGTGCAAAACGTGCTCTAGTTGCTTCTCATTATCAGCTGTGAGTTAAAATCCATTTGCTGTTTATTGGTCTGATGAGTACACATTTCTGTTTAGCCAGCTAATGGCAAGAGCCCGCTCTCTATAAAATTAATGTTCCCTTAGATTTTTTTTTTAAAGGCTTCCCTGTCTGAAGCTTCCTTCTTTTCTAAAGCATAATGAACAGGTATGTGTCCTCTACAAAGCAGATGAGAGGGAGACTCCAATATTTGGCTTGTGGTTCAAGTCTAGATTTATTTTTCATGCTTTGACAAAATTCACACGGGTGTAGATGACGGCTCAAGGTGCAGGTCCGTATAGAATCAGGCCGACAGTTATTAGCCAACAGGAAGGGACATCGAAGTCCCATTCATTTCTATAACACTGCTGCTCATCTCTCAGATAAAGTCAACTGACCAAGCTACATCTCCCCTCCTCCTCCTTCCTCCACCTTCATTGATGTGTAGAATTAATTTGCTGCATCAAGAGAGGTTTTTGTTTTGCTCTGTTTTGGTCTTTTCAATTCAGACTGTGCGGTTCTGCTCACAAGGAGGTACGAAGCCAATAACTCACTGAAAATCAATCTAGGTTTCCAATGAGTGATGGAATGGAAAATATCGGAAGGCATTTGCTGAGGACATTATAGGATGCAAAACAAACAAACAAAAAAGCTTGGCTAAATGGAAATTCACTATTGTTTAATGCAGCCTTAGTCAAAAGAGGGGGAGCAGCAGCACCATCAAGGCAGGGTGGGAGGGCAAATTAATTTAATAGCTTACCCTTTGTTTGGGTTCTCTGGCTGAGACTGGGAGGAAGCCTACTAGAAAGAAGATACCTACTGATGATTCCAAAGTCAATTTCAGTTCAGGGACGCTTCTTAGCTCTGAACATGCGCATTAAACCAAGGGCACTATGCAGAGGGAAAGACAGTCTGTCCCTTCCTCTCTCCAACTTAATCTGTTGAGTTTATTAAAAAGAAGAAGGGGTGTCATGATTATAGTGTATAAATATCAATATTGGATACTAAAGGGCTCTTTACTGTAGCAGAGGGAGGCATAACAAGAACTATTGGCTGAAAGCTAAAGCCAGACAAAGTCAAACTGGAAATAAGGCAGAGGGATTTTTAACAGTGAGGGTGATTAACCAAGAGGAGTGGTGAATTCTGCATCTCTTGATGTTTTCAGATCAAGCTGGGATGCCTTTCTGGAAGAGATGCTTTAATGAACAAACAAGTTATTGAGTTCAGTACAGGGGTAACTGGGTGAAATGTACTGGCCTGTGATATATAGGAGGTCAGACTAGATGACCTAATAATCCCTTCTGGCCTTAAACTCTATGCATCTGTGAAACGCCCCAGTTCCTTGCCTGCCCCTTAGTGGCCTTGCCCAAGAGACTCTGAGTCAACCGCAAGATCCAAAATCCCGATGAAAGAGGTTTAATTTTAGTCCCAGGTATCCCTCTTACAGGCATCAGTGGTACAAACCTTAAGAAATGATGAGAGATTATGTCAAGAAAACCCAAGCCTCTGTTGCCATATAATGAAAAATGTCAAAGTGAAGCTAAAATGCTTATTTTCAAGGCTGGGACACAGTGATCTGGTGACAAACTTTCATTACAAGTTTATTGCTGTTGTACCTTCTAACTGATGCAGATTTAATCACTTTCTCTGATGGAGGTTGGTGCAGCAGAGTGACTCTATCTCGTTGCTCATTATTCTTCTGCTGTGTGCTGTTTGGTTCTCAAAGCAGACCTATTGTATTCTGCCGTCAGTCCGGGCCTTGCGTATCCATAAGCTTACAGGGATTTTTAAAGTACATAATCAATTAAGTTGTCTGGCTGGCTTGTTAATTTAAGTGCTTATGGTCAGCTGTTCAGTAACAGGATTGGCTGCACAGGATCCGTCTGATATGACTTCTGACAATAATTAAACCAAACTTTATGCTCATCATCATTAAAAATGTAATTTATGGAGCAGAACCAGAACCCTGTACGCATATCACTTCTCTTTTCACTCTCAATAAGACACAGGATTATTCTGCTTGGGCTAAATTTTGGAGTATTTTCTCAGTCCGTTGATGTTAGTGCAGCTACTCCAGATTTACACTGGTGCAAGAGGAGAATCCGGCCCATTACATCTTCAAAACAAACTCTAATTGGCTGATTGCATTATAAGGGCCTTCCGTGGTTCCTAGCATCTTCAGAAAGCTATTTGTCTATCATTATTATTAATTATTTGTATTATCTTATCATCTAGGAGCCCTCTCTTTAATAGCTGTCACACATAATTTCTTTTCTCCAGTAGATGATATTTTTAGGTAGGAAGGGAGCAACAAGGTTTTGTAGGGACTGTAGCTCTAAGTTTAGAAGTACATGTATTATTTACAATAGATTTTATTTGAAACATACACATCTCTGAATTTCATGGGTTAAGTGGCAAAGTTTGAAATCGATGGTGGGTGGTGACCAAAGTGTTGATCACCTCCGAGTTACATCACAACACACAATACATTTGGTGGGTGTTCTTCTGTTCAGGTCCCTAAATGAGTCATTTGTTCATGTCATAATATCACTGAAGACAATTGGCCATGATTGTGAGTCTCTCCGGAGAAGTCCGGCAACGCAAGGGCAGGTGGCTGTTGAAGGCTGGGATTGATGTGTGCTGGCAGAGTTGTGTGTGGAAGAAGCTAGCTCAAAGCCAGATTGCACTATGCCTGGCTCGAGACAATGCTATCAATCTCTTGTTTTCTGAAGCAAGGAATCTCATCAGATTCAGCCACCCTAAAATGTTAGCATCATAGCAAGGTTTTCTGCTTTTATGGTTTTAAAAATACCCACCGAGTTTGGCATGTATTACTTTTTAATGCCAAATAATGAAACAGGAGCAGCAGAGCAATACGATGGCTCAGTTTTGATTTTTGTAAAGCATTGCCATTTCCTGGGTAAATTCAGTTTAAGGTAAAATGTTCTTTAACCCCAAATTGGAACCCCTAATTCAATAAACTCCACCTTTGAAGGGGGAAACTCCACATCCCTTCTCCCAGGATGTCCTGTCTCTACCATCTTGCCGAGGGCTCAGTATCTTGTTCCATCTGGGACCTTCTGACGCCCATCTCAGGCCTATCAAAGGAGGGGCATGGAACACTGCAGTTGTGTGTACATCCTTCATCCATGTTTGCAGAATGTTTCAAACCTGGGCTGTGTTTGAAGTTCAGTGCAGATGTTTTGCAGAGCTCTAAAGTTAATTTGCCATTCTAAGATAAACAACCAAACACAATGTGTGGAAGTTTATAGCCATATGAGAGCAGATGACTTCATAGGACTCTGGCAATGATGGCATGGTGGGGTTCTGATCCGTGGATGTTTTATGCATTTGCAGTTACATCTATTGTATCTTTGGTTACACAAAGCAGTGCAGCTTCTTCTGGAAGTAGCATAATTATCTTTTACATCTTTGATCAAAACAAGGGCTGTGTGAAATTGACAAATACTTCCCAGGACATTTTTCGAGGATAGCAAATCAAACTACTAGAGATAGGCTTGAACCAGGGGTTTCAATCCAAACCCTTTCAAAATTTCAGATGACGATGGAGATTAGATTAAAATCTCTGGGCTTGATTCCACCCCTTACAGTTCTGATTCCAGGGCAGATCCAGAACCAAAAGGTATCTGTTTTCCAGTTTAGATTGAGTCAAAATCTCATGAGATCAGTCAGTGCTCTTCAGTTTAAGCCTGAACTCCTGAGGTGAAATCCTCGCCCTAGAAGTTCTGTTGTTGACTTCCCTGGGGCCAGAATCTCAAACTAAAATCTGAATCCCAAACCCTACTCTAATCCAGATATGGGTTTTAACACTATCTCCTTGGCAAGTTCTTCAAAAAAGAACTAGATAAATTCATGGAGAATAGGTCCATCAATGATAATTAGCCAGGATGGGCAGAGATGGTGTCCCTAGCCTCTGTTTGCCGGAAGCTGGGAATGGGTGATGGGGATGGAGCACTTGATGATTATCTGTTCTGTTCATTCCCCCTGGGGCACCTGGCATTGGCCACTGTTGCAAGACAGGATATTGGGCTAGATGGACCTTTGGTCTGACCCAGGATGGCCGTTCTTATGTTCTTATGCACATCTGTGGTTAACATGAATTTTCCCATTGATACCTAAGTGCTCAATCTTCCTGCACAGAACTCGATGGAGGTTTTGCAAGGACCATACAGACAAAAGTTGTATTTGTTTAAGACGTGCAAATACATCTCCTAAAAGTCATCTCTACTCCTATTTCATATATTATCTCTCCTCCAACTCAGACAATTTCTGATCTAGAAAACAGCTGTCTTATTGTTAGGCAGCTGCATACAAAATGTCATCAGTAGGACAGATTTTTTTTTCTCCTCGCTAACTGTATTGCTTTGTAATTTGCTTCAGTCTTGGTTGCAAATGACTAAAGCATTTTGTAAGGAGTCTAGACAGTGTCCTTAGTGAACTGGCATTTAAGTAATAATCTAAAATATCTCCACCATCAACCAATAATCTAACAATAGTGAGATTTTGATGTTTTTATCTATTGTGTTGTAGCAGCCTCGCTTTGAGCTTTTGATGCAGGAGAGCATGATTTTTAAACGGATAAGGACTTTCCAATGAATCTCCATGACACTGAGCGATTGCATTCATATTCTTGTGTATGCCAAATTAATGGAGTTCCACACAGCAGATGATATAATTTAATACATGCTGCCCTGATGAGGCCTACAGGAAGCCAAAAAAGAGGCAACATAATATGCTGTTTTTATCCAGGCAGACTGAGATGTTAATTGCCCTTTCAAAGGACAAAGACAACCACCCGGTACTTCAAGGCAACAGTTTAAACTACAGAGCTGCTGGAAAGATGTTAGCATCCCCATCTTGGGAAGCTTTTGTGCGCCAGTTAATTCAATCAGTTGCTTTTTAGATTGTGGACCTATTTTTTTGATCATTGGTAGCATCCTCCAAATACATCATTTTCAAGCAAGTTGCCAATTACCACCTCTCCTCCTAGCAATTTGCTCTGGATTTCTGGTGATCCTTGGTGTCTGTCCAAGAGAAAACCTCCTGTTAATAACTGCAGGCCTCCATGTCATTCTCTGAATAAGCAGGGTCTTGGAGTGTGTGTTCCGGTGATGAGCTAGAGGGCAACACTTCTAGAACCAGTGAGGCCAGAAACAGTCTGTCCATTCCTCGTGGGTATAATGAGACACCGTGGGAAAAGAGTGACAGGCTTTTCTCCTCAAAGTGAGGTTTCCTTAGTTTAGTCTTCAGATTGTTCCCTTTTAACACCTAGTTTAATTTCTAAGGTAACTTATGATGCCGTCGCCCTACATATCTTCCAGAACTGTGTGTGGGGGAATCTCTCTCTCTATTGATCATTTGTTATGGTGGTTCTCTGCTGTCTTCTAACATGAAGTGTTTCCATTGTTTGCCTAGGTCTGGTACATGGATAGCTACCACAACAACCGCTTTGTCCGAGAGTACAAAAGCATGTCGGATTTCATGAATACAGACAATTTCACCTCTCACCGTCTCCCTCACCCCTGGTCTGGCACTGGCCAAGTGGTCTACAATGGCTCGATCTATTTCAACAAATACCAAAGCCACATAATCATCAGGTTTGATTTGAAAACAGAGAGCATCCTCAAGACTCGCAGCCTGGATTATGCTGGCTACAACAACATGTACCACTACGCCTGGGGTGGCCATTCTGACATTGACCTCATGGTGGATGAAAACGGCTTGTGGGCTGTCTATGCTACCAATCAAAATGCAGGGAACATTGTTATTAGCAAGCTGGACCCCAACACCCTGCAGAGCCTGCAGACCTGGAACACCAGCTACCCGAAACGCAGCGCCGGCGAGGCCTTTATCATCTGCGGTACGCTCTACGTCACCAACGGGTACTCAGGAGGAACCAAGGTGCACTATGCTTACCAGACCAATGCCTCCACTTACGAGTACATTGATATCCCATTCCAAAACAAATACTCACACATTTCCATGTTAGACTACAACCCGAAGGACCGGGCCCTCTACGCTTGGAACAACGGGCATCAGATACTTTACAACGTCACCCTCTTCCACGTCATCAGGTCTGATGAATTGTAGTCCACTTTTGTCTAGAAACTAATTTAAAAAAAAATACTAATATCAAGGAAACACACTTATTAAAAAACAGCTGCCAAAATAAAGAACAACTTGACAGAGGATTATACAGCATACACCTGACATCAGCATTACCTCTACATTTCTAGAAGTCCAAGCCTGTGTTCTCTAGACTTAAGAATAATCACATACTTGCAGCTGGAACTGCACTTAAAGAAACACTGAAGTTTTTGTTTTGCTTTTGGTTCCAATAGCAAATCTCCAGTACATGCTAAAGAAGTAAGGCAATGACTGTTGGAAATTATCACTGGAGAGACTCTCTCTCTCTCTCTCTCTCTCTCTCATGTGAGTTGCATGGACATTTTCCTACATCACGGTCAGCCATGATGGATGTGTGATTTGTATTTCTAAGTGGAAAAGATGACCCTCTCCAGGGGGTGTTTGGTTAAGACTAACACTGGTTAGTTTTACTTGCATTCCATTGCAGCTACTGTCTCTCAACTGTGTTTTTGTCTCTTAGATTAACTGTGCTGAGACCCAAAGTAGCTCATGGATCTGTGTCTTAGTAACTATTAAACACGATGGTTTAAGTATGTATTATGAACAAGTTGTTGTACCCATATTGTTTGAACTTATGTATTCAGCAAATATACTGTATCATGTATGTCTGTTATTTACCAGAGGTGGCAAAACTTTGTATGTCTAGTTTATGCAATGAATGTTGTAAATGCAATGGTGTAGTTTGGATTAATAAATGATGGTTTCGTTTCTTAAAAAATGACAATGAATCAGTGTTCACCCCTTATACACAGGTAATCAATTTCATGTTGCTAATTTTAAAAAATATTCTCTTACTGTTATAATATCTACACAGCATTATGATTGATGGAAATAGCTTCTGTGGATATTCTGTGGCATCAGATTCCCATATGAAGTCTTAGGAGGATGGACTTGTGAAGGAAATTAATTTTTTTAAAGAGGAAAACTTTGTACTATCCACAGTTATCTAAGGAACAATAAAAATATTAGGAGACTTCCCTGTTTTGTTTATTGTGTACTGGCTCTGTGTATGTAGGGGGTGGAACATTAGTAAATTATAGAGTTACTAATTCTCAATTATATCTCTGTGCAACCATCTTGTGTTGGGGATGACTAAAAGGGGAAAATGGCCTACTGTGTACAACAGCTGGCACCGGGCAGCAACTTCGGGAATTTCAGAGGACTGTCTGCTTTCCAGTGTGCATCATTCAAAGAATCAGGTGGATGCTGTCTCAGTTGCAGGACTTATGCATATGTTTAGATTATAGTGTATGCATCACTGCCCATGAGCTCTGCCTGATGTGTACCTGCCTTTCACTCAGCCCCTGAGTATCTTCTGCTTTAAGGAGTTAAATTCCTCACTTCATTCATATAAACAGTCTCTACTACAAAAGGAAGCAAAGCCTTGATGCTGTATTGATTCACTGCCAGCAAAGACGGCCTCTTTTGCTCCCAGCAGGGCCGAGTCTTTCCTGTTCTACATCCTGACTAAACCCTTTGGCTTTCAGAACAGCATTTGACACGTGGCCTCTCTCCACCATATTCATCAGAAGTGAAGACACCGAGCCTTGGACTTGAAGACGGAAACTACAGTGTTTTCATACCCTGGTAATAATTTGAGAAAATTTTAGAATGATGAAACTGTCCTCCTGCTTGAAAGGCACCGAACCCCAATGTTCGTAACGGCTCACCATTGCCTCTGATCATCCTCAACCCAGTGTCAGAGACACTAGGTTCAAGTCAGCGTAAGACTGTCTCGTCTTGTCTTTGCCCATTGTGAAGAGCTCATGGGGCTGAGGAATGTCATGGCATACCAGCCCTTGCCTTCAAATAATCCCAGGGTGTCCGACAGCTAAATCTGCTAATGCTCTGTGGGCCCTAACGCCTTGTGCTGCCAATATGCACCCCCTAACTACCTGTAAAACCATGATCCGTGGACACCCTGCCTCCCTGACCACCAAGGACACTTCCCCTGTTGATGACCCATCACCATTACCAGATTCACTCTCCTGCCCTCTGTCGACTGATCACTGCTCAGCTGATCCAACACACCAGGTGAAACTCAGGTGCCCCATCGCCATTTTCTCCCCAAGGTCACGTCCCAGTTGCCTCTGACCATCAGCAATAATGTTAAGGCTTATTGCAATGTACTGGAGATTAGTGCAGGAGAGGGACAAATCGCAGATGATCCAACACTGGCGTCTGAGATCCCTTTATTGAATCCATATAGGGCAGGCTGAGAGAGTGTTCTTGTAACAATTAAAGAACCAGTCTTGCATTTCTTACACATGTGAGGAGCCCCATTGAATTCAGTCCCCAGCCTGCCCTTACACAGACTGTAAGAATGCTTCCTTTCATTATCATAAACTAAGCTTACATTCTTTCAAAAAGAGATAGATGCAGATAAACATGTCTTGTAGCACCAGCAATCAGGCTTCTCAGCTAAGGCTGATGAGTGCAGATATGTTGCTTTCTCCTAAATAAGGCTTCTAGCAGAGAATTCCATAAAGGGATTGCCATGTTAGTCAGTACTGACCACTTCAGAAGTAACAAGGGCTCATCAATCGTAGGAAATTGAATATAATGAGAGGTGCAATCATAGCAAATTGAACATATGGGATTCGTCCTCTTGACCCTAATGCATAATCCCTGCTCAATGTTTCAGCAGAAGATGAAGGGGGGAAAATGAAGCATGAACAGAACACTGTTTCCTCACAAATGGATGGCATCATGGCCAAAGAATGGTTCTTCACAACTAGATTTCTGAGCCAGTTGTGTAAATCTTGGAATCCCACCTGGGTGATGACTTACTGAAATGAGAGCGCATATCGGGAACGGGACTGCTTTCTGGGGATTTGATTATATATCACGCAGCACATTTCTAATGCGCTGAATTGCTACATTTATGGGGCTCATAGATTTATAGCAACGGTTTTCCTTCCTAGAAGCTAAAAAAGGGAAGAAAGAACCATGATATAATTGGCAACAGTATCGATTTTCAATGTGCAGTAAAAAATCTGTTAAGCAGGGAGCCTTTAAAGCACCTGCATTGTATCCACTTAACAAGTGTATTCCGTGAGCAGGGACTCATTTAGGAAGAGCTCAGCTGTTCTTTGAAAGATTTAGGGCCGGATCCAAAACCCATTGAGATCAATGGAAAGACTCCTATCAACTTCAACAGGCTTTGGAGCAGGTCCTCACTGCATAAAGAACACGAGTTGCCCAGCTATTTATGTGTATCGCGACAGATCTTTCTTTGCCTCTCTCATTCCCTTTATAGATCTGAATTCTAGTTGTTACCATAGGTTTATTATAGAATATTTCTCCAGCATTACTCAAGCACCACACATAATACGCTGGATTGCCTCTGCGTAGACACTATATTTAAATTCCTTTTGCTAGTCCAATTCATTTAATACAAACCTGAACCAACCTAGTGTCCTTGAACATTACAAAGGCCGAACAGCTTTCCCCATAACATGTGCCAAAGTTAATGAGGTGAGAAAAGTGGTCAAACTGACTGGACCTTTGTCCTATTAGCCTGTTGTGCGTATTCTATAAACGGACACCATATGGTAATATATTTTTGGTGTGCATTATTTTTCAAGTGGATGAGCCATTCTGAGGCAAATGTGTCCCAGAAGGATTAATTTCTATCACAATTGACTTATTTGGTGCATGAAGTACACTGGGCCAAACACACTGCTGGCATTTCCCCAAGGAAGTCAATGAATTGCAGTAATGAAAAATTTGGCCCTGTGTGTATGTGTGTGTGTGTGTGTGTGTGTGTGTGTGTGAAGTTAATATTTTAGAAAGTATTGCTTTAAAAGGACTTTGCTAAATATTTGTGTGGGTTTCAGAGACTGCATTGTGTTAAGTGGACTCCAGAGCCTAGATTCTGCATTCACTTACAAGAGCAATATTTAGTCCCAGGTGACGGTTTATAGCTGAGCAATAAATTCAACTGCCTTAAATTTGCCTATATTTCAAGTCAGCACTTAGCCTACCATTGTCATTTGATTCATTTGACCCATTGAGCTCCAGCTGGTTCATCTGTAGTTCTGGATGGGTTGGGTGCCAGTTAATGGAAAGATGAGCGAGCCGTTCACATGCTCATCAGATGATTCTACAGAGGAAAGAGAAATAACCTCAGCAAGACTCTGATCTCTTTCATGGTTGGGCTTCACCAAGCCATGGTGCTTTCCTGCCTTTAGTAGATTCATTGGCTTCCACTGCACTGTACCAAGTTACCTCCCTCTCTTCTATGGGGTCACAATGATCAGATATACAAGGGACCAGGAGTATCTATCACTCCTCCTCCCACTCAGGGAAAGCTCTCACTGGCATCCCTCTTTCAATGGGTTTTGAGTGCACTGTGCCCTTCTCTACTTCAAAGCTGCAGAGAGAAGAACATGTGTAGCCATTTTTTTTTTTTAGAATGGTCCAAAGCTCATAAATCAAGCAGGGGAGATCAGCTCTGACTGTTCTCTCCATGCAATACCCCTTTCATCTCTCCTCTTCTCCTCTTCTCCCTTACTTCTCATCTCCCACTGCTTTCTGTGCTGCATCTTCCTTCTGCCCCAATCCCCCTGCCCAATTCGGTGTCTCTTTTCTCTACTTCTACTCTTTCTCCTCGCCCTTTTATTTTTCCCGTCTCTCCCTTGATTTCTTTTGCCCCATTCCTTTTCTACATTTTCCCCTTTGAGTCTTCCTCCCTACCTTTCACTCACTCCCTTCCCTCTTTTCACTTTGTTCACCCTCCGAGCTCTTACCTACCTCTCCCTCTCTCCAGTTTAATTCTCTTTTTCTCACACATCATCCTTGCTTAGACGGCGTGATCCAGCCAGACTCAAGCGTCCCATCATCCCAAGAGAGGATGTAGGCACAAAGCAAGAGATTGGCTTGAACCGACCACCAAAACTGGAGGTGTTTGTTAAATGTACGCCTGTGGCTTGGTTCAGATTTCAAGCAGCCTCTGTCTTTATAATGGGCTGAACCAAAATCCTGTATTGGAGCACTTTGAAATCCAGAAGTAAACTTTTGTGATTAAGGCTCATTTGATTCTAAACTCCCTATCTGTGTGCACAGATGGTTGGTTTTGTATCCATACGGGAGCATGACCACTTTTGAGGGCTCAGTCATAGGCTGGCATACATATCTGGAGGCCAAGGCTGATAAATTGACACACAAGTTGCAAAGTCCATGCTCAATGCATGATGGCTAGTGAAATGCATGCATCTCCTCAGGAATGTGTTCCACACTAAGATATGGAGAATGATTCCATACCCTCAGGTTGGGCAGCAGTTACTTGACTTCAACAAAGTTCATGCAGGCATCTGGCCCTGACCCAGAGGTCTGTTTCTTGGTAACACAAAGATTGATGCCTAGCATCATCATTACATTAAAAGCTAAAAAAAAAAAAAATCATTTTTCTTTCCCACTACTTGCATGACCTACATTAGTTCTGCAAGCAGTGAACTCAGAGCCCATATGGAGACAGATATCATAAAAAAAAAAAAAAAAATCCTGGCTCCTTAATTAGCTCCTCATTATCTGAAAGCTCCATACTGAAGTATAAAGATGTTGCAAAGCAATTTGTGGAGTTTCCAATTAAAACTTTTAGAACTGTTGAGCCTTTTAATACTTTATGTTTACAAATTACCTTGGAACTAGACCAATGCACACATTTCCTTCACTGGGGAAATATGGCTGTGGATCCTAGAATTATTAATATAAAATCCCCACTTTTAATATAGTCATAAAGTATGTCAATATGGCTGCTCTTTTTATAGCTGATACAATAGAGATGAGTCTCTTTTGAGTGAGTGCCGAAGAGTAGGAATTATTAAGAGGGTAATTATAGGCTGATTTCATAATAAATCTACTTTTACAACATAGTAAAAACAAATATACACATCCCTTTTTACATTATGTCACTTTGGGTCTGATTCTGCATGATGCTATTAGGTGCTGAGTGTTTTCAGTTC